TGCCCCCCCTCCCCTCCCAACAGCTTATATCGCTCGCGTTCTTCCCACGCACGTGTATGCCCTGCTGCGTGCGTGTTCAGCTCGATTCAGAGCACCCGTGATCGCGAGGTCCACCACCCCCCCCCCCCCTGAACCGATTTTCAAAATGCCAGATCTGCTGCGTTGGAACGGTGGCCGATAAATATGTCGGCGTCGGGACTAAATAGCGTCTCCATGCGAAGTATTTCCGAAAACGACCATGCCATTTGCATTCTCTTCGTGGGGGGGTAGTCGGTCGTTCTTTGGAGATCAGTCCAGGGGGTATGGTATCTTACGCAACGCACACCTACAAGTCTAGTATGCGTACATGTAGACACTGGTAAGGGCCACACCAGCAATGTCTACCCGCCCGAGGCGTACCGCAGGTGACTGAAGATAACACACCCCCTGGACGGATTTCCAAAGCCCGATTTCTCCCCGGCAGAAAGACTGGCAGTGCCAAAAACGGCGGCGTGTCGTCGACGGCTTGCCGAAAACGCATTTTTTGCACGATATGCATGCTCTTCGTCGTGGAGCATCGAGCTTTGAAAATCGGTCAAGGGGGTGCGGTATCTGGCGCCATGCCACCTTCGGTGGTGTGAGGGCGTGCACCGCCTGCGCAACGTTTCCACGCAAACAACCATGGTTAATCTGCCGTGATGATCATGACGAGGAAGAGACGACGAGTGTCGTTGTGACATTCGGAAACCTCTGTTTCGTTGTCGCACAGAGCTGTGCATATGTCTCACTGACGATCTCTCTGTGCTGTACATGTACAGCACTGCTGTACGCAGCCTTGAGCAGGCTTGCCATAAATACGTCCGTATCCAGGAGGTTTTCCTCGACTCACTTGCTTCTGCTGCAGAGACGTCAACTCGTCCCTCCGATCGGGGCGCGTGTTTTCTTTAACGGCTGTAATATTTCCGTAAATTTGTACCATGCATATTCCCTCTAGAAGAGTAAAAGTAAATGGAGAAGGAGTAAACTAGACCGCTCGGGCGGGGCTAAAAAGGTTATAAAACCGCGTACATTACGCATGTTACGCACGGGCTGGACGGTCGTGTCGGGGCCAACATCCGGACACCCCTGTCCCGAATATAGCGACCCAAGCACGGATATATTTAAAAAAAATAGGGCCGACTGCGGCTCGTCTGTAATTCCCGAATTGTAGTGCTGTACGATGCAGAGCCCCGCCAGGGGGAAGTCGACCAGCACACCCTGGAGCATGTAGTAGCATGGTACCTCTCAGAGCTTGTCACGAAAACCAGGTACATGGTACATGTGCATTTTATATGCAGCAGTGGGGGTGACTGCTGTTGATGTAGGACAGAACCCGATTGGACGCCATCAAGAAGCGCCACAGAGTTTGCTCCTGCTGTTTTGCATTGCTGCTGCTGCTGCTGCTGCTGCTGCTGCTGCTGCTGCTACCGCTGCTGCTACCGCTGCTGTTGGTGAAAGAATCTTGTCTTCCGCCCTCGAGGGTGACTGCGTCGGCGACCGCCCCCGCTCCACCGCCCGCTGCTGCCGCCACCGGATGGTCGCCGTCGCCGCCGCTTCCGGGGCCTGCGCCATGGTCTTTGCCTTCGCCTGATGCCACCGTTTCGCCGCCCCCGAGGCCGCCTGCGTCGGCGACCTTCATCGCTCCTCATCATCATTCTAGAAATCAATCCAATTGTCGATCAGAGAATCAACGTTGTCTCGCGAGGGCACACACTACGTGTCATGAAGAGACGAAGAGGGGCGTTGCCAGCTGGAGGAAAGAACGTCGCCTTGAGATGGAGAGGTGGAGGAAGAGGAAGAGGTCGCCTGAGGTGCGCCGTAGCGCTGCTGCTGCTGCTGCTGCTGCTGCTGCTGCTGCTGCTGCTGCTGCTGCGGAAAGGTCGCCTGCTGGGTAGAGGTGTCGAAGGGCATCAGGGCTTGCAGCAGAAGGGTGGTTGTGCGGTACGTTATACTTCCTGCTGCTGGTGGAGCCCGCCGCCTTCGGCAAGATGGTCGGAACCGCATTCCCCGCCAGCGTTGCCGTAGAAACCTCTGCCACGGTCCGCTCCATGAGGCCTTAGCCTTGCCTCGGGAGGTGGGGGATCCAGCTCGATGTTGATCCCGGCGCCGGCGTTGCCTCCCATCCCGAGGTGATGTCGCAGCCGCATGAATCTCCGCCGCCTACCGCCGATCGAGCCGGGAGAATGGGGCCGCGGAACGTTGGCGATCTGCCCGAGGAGGGACGTTGGGCGGCGGATACAGTAGTATATACGACACAAGATAACACACCCCCTGGGCCGATTTTCAAAGCTCGATTTCTCAACAGCGCAAAGAGTCACAGCGCCGAAAACGGCGGCGTTGAACCCGTCTCGTCGAGAGCTTTCCGAAAATGTGTCGTTTCGTTCATGCGTCCTCTTCGTCGTGGCGTATTCAACCTTTGAAAAATCGATCCAGGGGGTGTGTTATCTTGTGTTTTATACGTTAGTTGCCGCCGCGGGCGCCGCCCCCCGCTCTCGGAGGGGTGCTGAGATGATAACGATATCTAGTTGTGGTGCGGTGCAGACCACGTGGTGTAGAGGCCCGTTCCAAACACCGGCGGCGTGGCGTGAGGCCAGTGCACCGCCGGAGATTGATGGGAAGTCGGCGTGCACGTGCCAGGGCCGTTGCATTCCCGCCACCCATTCCCACCCATGCGGAAACACACTGCTGCTCTGCTTGAAGTCAAGCTGCACGAGGTGACAAGCATTGCTGGAGGCCGGCCGCTGCTGCTGTGAAACGGACAAAGAGAAAATTAAGTGATGACGACCCACTGCGACTCTTGTTGTGTGCTCCCCCCCTAGGGCACAGGAAGTGGGCCGAACAGGCAGGAAGGGTTACGACAAGATAGGGAGGAAAAAATTGAGCCACCTTGGGCGAAGTAGGAAGGAACGATTGTTGATCGGTGATCGGTGCTGTGGGAACAATGCGCCGTCCTCTCGAGGACGCGTGGTGAATGGTCTAACAGCTAAGGCATGCAAAACTTGAGTAGCTCCCCCCCCCACCCCTCTTTCTCCCCCAGGCGGGCGATGCCGTGGAAGCGCTGAGGAGGTACTCCTCGGCCCTCTCTCACACCCCCGACGACCACCTGCTTCATTCCAACCGCGCCATGGCCCTGGCCAAGCTCGGGCGATGGAGCGAATCCGAGAAGGTGGTTTTTCTTTCTTGTAATTTTTTCCAAATTCCCTAACGATCTTTGTTTTTTTCACAAAAACACAACAAAATAGCATCTTCCACATATAAGGAGCCTAGGGTAGATTTAGCAACGGCATTTTCTTTTTTTTGTCTTTTTCTTTCAAAAACATGGATTTATTTTTTTTCTTACAAGAGCACAACGAATATTCATCTCTTCCACAGATGAGTCCGGGACAGATTTAGCTAGAAGTAACAAACGCCCTCCACCTCCAGTGCCGTTTGCAATCGTCGAATCCTAACCGTAGATAAACTCGACGATTCGACCCATACACCGATGTATGGAGATGGTATTCATCCTTCTAGGCTTGGGGTTAGGCATGCGGGGTGATGTCTGTTGGTTGAGCGATCGCTTCGCGCGGCTTACTATTTCCATTTTTTGTACCTGCGTACCTGTAACGGCAAGCGCCGCCATTGAACGAGCTGTGTACGTTTCTAAGAGCGCGTCTACATATATAGCGCATGGCATCGACCGCCGACGGCCTTGTTGCCTCGGAAATCGCGCGAGAGGGTTAGGTACGACGATCGTTCCAAGGCAGCCTTCTCGCGTGCTAACCTTCCTCCCAAACCGCACACGTGTGCAACGACGTCCACTGGCCCATGGGTGCGGCGTAACTGGTATCGCTTCGGGGCAAAACAAAACCAGTCGGCTGCCAAGGCCGTGGAAGCATCGCCCGATTTCGCCAAGGGATACCTCAGGCTCGCCAAGGCTCAGCTAGAACAGGTGAAAGACGGCAGCCTCCGTAGCGCGCATACCGTTACCTTCTAGACTGATATTGCGGTGAAACTAGCTGCTTGGTTTTTCTTAGATTTGCAGTGTTCGTGCGCGGACAACAACATGCGCGGTAACGCCACCGAAGGCGGTGGTACTTGCTTCCACCTGGCACTGCTGCTGTCCTTCTCTCATCTATCTGTCTCAATCTCTCGCTACCCTTGCGTCCGTCTGTCCCTCCCCCCGCCCTCCCGCCCCCCCCCCCCCCCCCCCCCCCCCCCCAAAACGCTGTAATTCAAATCCGGCACATGAGCGACCCGTTTCAACAACAGGTCTGTGGTCCCAACGCGAGAACCGATGGACACCCTCACGTCGCCGTAGCCTACTATGGCGAAGGCTTGCTTCCCTGCGGCGACACTCAAACGCCGATCGCACTCATGGTAGTTTTCGAACGCGTTAGCGCTCGGAAACATGTGTTTGGTTGCGCCGGCATCGGCCAC